GGGTCATCTAAGTGGAAACTACTCCCCACATCACCACGGGACCACTAGGGCACTGAAACCAGAAGATAGATCTCTCAGTGCTTCTGAAAAAGACTGGAGTAGAAAGGAAATCCCTCAATATGATTCAGAGCATATATGAAAAGCCAACAGTCAACATTACACTTAATGGTGACAGACTGCAACCTTCCCTTTGAAATCAGGAACAAGAAAAGGATATCCACTCTCATTACTTCTATTCAGTATTGAATTACAAATCCTAGTCAGAATAATAAGACAACAAAAAGAAATAAAAGGAATTCAGATTGGAATGGAAGGAAAATTATCTCTATTTATGGATGATATGATCTTACACACAGAAAATCCCAAGAGTCCACAAGAAAACTTCTAGAGCTAACAGAGGAATTTAACAAAGTGAAAGGCTACAAGGTCAACAAATAAAAATCAGCTGAGTTTCTATACACCAGCAATGAGAAATGTGAAAGGGAAATTAGGTAAATGATTTCATTTACAATAGCATCTAAGAAAATAAAATACCTAGGAATCAACCTAACAAAAGATGTAAAGGACTTATACAATGAAAATGATAAAGCACTGCTGAAAGCTATTAAAAAAGGACTTCAATAAATGGAAAGATGTTCCATGTTAATGAATTGGGAGACTTAATATTGTTAAGATGTCAATACTACGCAAAGAGATTTACAGATTCAACACAATCCCAATCAAAATTCCAACAGCCTTCTTTATAGAAACAGAAAAACCAATCTTCAACTTTATATGAAAGGCAAGAGGTCTTGAATAGCTAAAATGTTGAAACAGAAGAACAAATTAGGAAGACTCACACTTCCTGATTTAAAAACATACTATACAGCTACAGTAATCAACACAGCCTAGTATTGGTTTAACAACAGACACACAGACAAATGAAGTAGAATTGAGAGTCCAGAAATAAACCCACACAGCTAATAATCAACTGATTTTTGGCAAGGGTACTAAGTCTATTCAATGAGTAAAGAAGAGTGTCTTCTATAAATGGCACGGGGAAAATTGAATTTCCACATGCAGAAAAATGAAACAGGATTCATGCCTCACATGATACACAAAAATAAATTCAAAATGGCTTAAGGACATATTTGTGTAAATTAAAACCATAAAATTCTTAGAACAAGCAGGGCCAATGCTATCAGACCTAGCTTTTAACAATGGATTATCTAATATAACAAAAGCACAAATAGCAAAAGGCAAAACAACTAAATGGGATCTCACAAAAACTAACTTTTGTTCATCAAAAGACTTTAACAAAAAAGCAAAAATACAAACTGACAAATGGGAGAATATCTCCAAAAACCATATATCTGGTAAGAATCTAATAACCAAAATATATATAAAACTTTGATCACTGAACAACAAATAACCCAATCACAAAGCAGACAAGGGACCGGAATAGGCTATAAAGAAGGCTATTGGAATTTTCTTTGGGATTGTGTTGAATCTGTAGATCTCTTTGGATAGTATCGACACCTTAACAATATTAAGCCAATAGGAAGGCTAAGATTAAAAAAAAAAAAAAAAAAAAAGATGTGGCGAAACTGGAACCCTTATCTATTGCTGGTGGAATGCAAAATGGTACAACCATTGTGGTGGAGCCACTATGTGCCAGTTCCTCAAAAAACTAAAAACAGAACTACCATATAAGCCAGCAATTCCACTCCTAGGTATATAGTCACAAGACTTGAAAGCAGAAACTCAGAGACTTGTATACAATGTTCATTGCAACACTACGGACAATAGCCAGAAAGTGCTTACAATCTAAATACTCAACAAAAGATGAATGGATAGACTTATATATATACAATGGAATACTACTCAGCCAGTAGGAGAAATAAAATCTTGATACATGCTTGATACATGCTACATGACTAAAATATACCAGTCATGAAAGGACAAATATTTTATGACGTCACTTATATAAAAATACAAGAAAAGGCAAATGTAAAGACACCAAAGTTTATTAGTAGTTGCCAGGGGCAGGTAGATGGGAGAGAAAGTGAATCAATGGCAATGGAAAAATCACACTAATTGAGGGTAGGGTTGCACAGTCAATAATTGTAGTTGATGTCAAAAAGCTGTACACCCATAAAAAGTTGAATTGGCACAAGTTTGTAATAAACATATTTACAACAACAAAAAAAAAAAGAGTAGCTGCTGAGGCTGCTTATGCACAAGGAACACCTCATGGGTTCTGATTCCTTGGTTTGGAGGTTAAGGGTCATGGTTTTATGGGACATTCCAGTTAATTGGCCTAATAACGTGTTTAGTGCTTCTGTTCTGCCTCCTGGTTCACTGCATAGTGCCTGTGGTCTTAAAAGCTTGCAAGCATTCACCCAAGGAACAACAACTGGTCTCTATTCACCTGCAGCAACAGTGGAAGGAGATTCAGGAATAGGAGGAAGATAAGGAATTTGTGGATACTTGCCTCCAGGAACAAGTGCTTCCTTCGCCATGAGACTAGAAGAACTGGATGGCACTCAGCTACTGTTACTGAACATTTTGATCAAAGATACCACAGAAGAATCCTGATTAAAAGCAGAGAATGCAGAACAGAATTTAAAATTCTCATGGGCTCTACACTTTCTGGAACCATGGACCCTGGAAAAAAACCCTTGAAACTATTGTCCTAAGATAATCTTTAAACCTTAAACCAAAAATATTCCCTGAAGTCATCTTAAAACCAAATAATAGCTTAGCTTAACCAGTAAAAAACGTCTACCTTGAGCATTATGTTCTTTTAAGAACTGTCTATATGGGATCAGATTGACAATAGCAACTCAAAAGATTAGATAGGAACCTTTAGAGGCAGAGAATTTATGTTAATGAGAGAGGAAGAACTCAGAAAAGGAAGGGGAGAATGGTTGTACAACTAGAAGAATGTAACCAATGTCCTTAAATTCTACATGTAGAAACTGTTGAATTGGTCTATGTTTTGCTGTGTATATTCCCAACAACAAAATAAGTAAAATCTAAGGGGAATAATAAAAAAAAAAAAAACCCACTACGGAGCACAGTTCTACTCTGACGTATATGGGGTCTCCATGACCTGGAATTGATCCCACAACAGCTAGTTATCTATGTATATATATACTTATAGATTTACACACACACAAAAAAAAAAATATATGATTTATAAAATATACTTCTAAGTTGTTTACTACACACTTGGAGTTAAACTGGAATTTTTTAGAAAAATATCATTATGACATACCTTCTAGCAAACGTAGGCCACAGGAAAATGAGGGAAATAAAGTACCAAGAACTGTATGTGCAGAGGAGACCCACAATTAGAGGAGAAATCCCTCCAGTCTGGGTATGGGGAAGGGAGTAACAAAGTTAAAGGGCAAGGGTTACTCATGATGATGAAAGTTCTCAGAATTGAGTCTCTCCTTCAATGGAGCATGCCAATCCCTCCAGCAAGCTTTGACCACCACAGCTCTATATTCTCACCCTTTCATCCATTCTCTCATCTACAGAGGCTCTCATGTGACAACTGTATGTTAAACACTGTCCTAGGCTCAGTGAGCCAGAAAGACAAGCCTTGTCCTATGGAGCTCACATTCCAGAGGGCAATAGTGAAAGCAAGAGAAAAGAAAAATTGACAGGTTTAAGGAACAGCGGGAAGGACAGCACAACAGGGAGGAGGACAGGGAAGGGCAGGAATCAAAGGTAGCACCATTTAGGACTTTGCTATGACTTGTTTTGTGATCTGTGTGCCAAATAGAGGGCAGGGACTGTGCTGTTACTCTCATATGGGCATCCCCAGGGCCTAGGCCAGCACCTGAATTAACAGTTGGATAGATAGGTAACAACCAGATGAATCAGGAAATGGATCTAAAGAAAACTGAACTGCTAAGCGATGTCTGTAGCTTTTAGCAGGTAATATGCTGAATGCCAGGAACTCTGGTGGCACAGTGCCTAAGGCATTTGACTGCTAACCAGAAGACTGGCAATTCAAACCCACCAGCCACTCTGCGGAAGGAAGATGATGCAATCTACTTCCGTAAGATTTACCGCCTCAGAAATCCAATGGGGGTTGCTAAGAGTCAGAATCAACTCGATGGCAATGAGTTTAGTTTTGGTTTAGTTTATGCTGAATGTCATCACCAACAGTTTTTAATCTAATCAATATGCAGAATTTTTTCCAAGAAAGTATGTAGCTTCAATCTTATAATGGAAAACAAGAAAATATGATTTGCATTACTATATGCAAGTGAAAAAATATATATTCATTTTCTAGACAACTGCTAGAATATATTCATTCCTGAAAACAAAACAAAAAAAAAACCTATATTTAAATTATGTTGGCTGAGTTATATATACTGGTAGTATACAGACATTATCTGTTTACTCAACTTTAGAAGACAATCATAACGTATTTTCTAGCTCATTAGAAGGGAAGGTTCTAGAGAAAACAGGTACTGCTTCATTTTGTATGCTAGTAATAATATACCAAATATGAATACATAAAAGAAATTACCATGTTTTTATACAAGTAACACATGCATTATACAGGTTTTTTGCAAACCATGCAACCTCCTCCCATATTTGTTTTCTGTGCCCACTATACACATTACATGAGTGTGCACATTATTTATGTAGGCACATTATATATGGAAAATATGGTAATGGTCAGCTTATCAGAAAGGAAATTATAAAAATAGCTTTAGACCAGAATTCAGCAAGGTTTTTCTACAGAAGGATCAGATAGTAAATATTTTAGGCTCTGCAAGCCACATATAGTCTTTGTTGAATCATCTCCTTTGTTTTTTCTGGGTGTGTGTGTGTACAATGCCATAAAAAAATATAAAAACCATTCTCAGCTCTCAGCCATACAAACAGGCCTAAGCTTGGCGACTGCTGCTTTAGAGAACAATCACAGTCAGACCCCTGCAGTGCCAGGCTCCTAACAACTAAGCCCAGGGGGGCATCACCTTACTTTTCTGGATTACCTCTCTCAGTCTCTCCAGCTCATTCTGGAGAGCCTGCTTGGATATTTCCACTTCAATCATCTGCTGTCGGAGGGCTTCATTTTCATCTTCAGCTTTAGCACGCTTTTCCTCCACAGTTTCAAGTTCATGGTGCAATCTGACAGAGACATCTTTGGCTACCTGTATAAATGCACAGGGAATGATCATTAAGACTGGAAGCTTTCTGCCTGCTGAGGGCATATTCAAACAACTTTGAGACAGAATAATTAAGTACAGGTAGTCTCTAAATTATTAACAAGTTCCACTCCCATGTCTGTCTTTCTGAATTGGTATGTAAGTTGGAACAGTTTAGGTATGGTTTATATCTAATGTCAGTAGTCAGATGTTTCTCTTAGTGTATATGTGTGTGTGTGTGTGTGTGTAGTATATAGTGTACCTTTCTATACATAAAAAACATTAAAGAAACACTTCCAGACACACTAAAACATCTTTAACATAATACAGTACTCCTAATAATAATTTTTTGATGCACATCAGCAATTCGTGCCCATTTGTTATCATAAACCATTGTATGCACCTCAAATTTTTAATACAACAGGCTTTATGGGGGGTTGGTTTGTAACTATGGGTTGCACATAAGTCTAACATTTGTAACCCGGGACTGCCTCTAATCAGGTACAACACCAAAGAGCAAAGACCCTAGAGATAATTAATAAACTCATTAAAAAAAAAAATTTATGAAATCCACATTATGAAGAGAATATGACTTTCATCTGGAATAACAGGCAACTTTGAATAACCAGCTCTGGAGGCATAGTGCCTAAGGCATTTGACTGGTAACTAGACGGTTAGTAGTTCAAACCCACCAGCCACTCTGTGGAAGGAAGATGAGGCAATCTACTTCCATAAAGATTTACAACCTTGGAAAAGCCCAATGGGGGTAGCTATCAGTCGGGATTAACTCAATGGCAGTGGGTTTGGTTTGGTATTTTTGGATTATAGAGTATCACCAAGAATATAATTTCTGCCCAGGCTCACATGCTTTAAGTGAGAAATTAAAAATACAACTAATAATAAATAAATAAACGTTTCTGTCCACAGAAGGACAAATACTGTATTAGTTCATTACTGTAAAGTCAGGGAAGGGTTTAAATATGGAAGGAAACTTTCTTTGTTGGTGGGGAGGGGAGGGAAGGAAACAGCAAAAATTTTAAAAAACTCAAAAATATATAAATAAATAAACATTTTTGTCCCCTAAGTGAGCAGCTCTTATGACATAGTGGTTAAAGCATTTGGATGCTAACCAAAAGGTCAACAGTTGAAACCCACCAGCTGCTCTGTGGGAGAAAGACTATGCCATCGGTTTCTGTAAGGACTTAAAACCTTGGAAACCCTGTAGGGCAGTTCTACTTTGTCCTAAAGGGTTGCTATGAGTCATGATTGACTCAGTGGCAGTGGGTTGGATTTGGTTTTGGTCCCCTAAGATAATTCTGGGCCTGCCAGCTAAAAAATAAATACATAATTAATTCTGTATGCATTAAATGTTTAATGAAGTAAAGATGTAGTGAATTACTTGGTATGGCTTGTCTACCCACGGTCTTTGTGGAACCCACAAAGATTACTTGGCAGAACTATGTAAATGTGAGGTGCTTGTGGCCCACCAAGGGGATTGGATAGCTTGTTAATAATGTAAATAAGGTACAGGACACCCTTTGTGGGGGTCCGAAAAAAACAAACTCACTACTATCCAGTTGGATTTGACTCATAGCAACCTCTCCTTGGGTTCCCAAGGCAGTATTTCTGTGGAAGTAGATCACCCAACTTCCTTCCGAGGAGTGGCTGGTGGGTTTGAACTGCCAGCCTTCTGATTAACAGTCAAATGCCTTAGGAACTACACTAGCAGAGCTCTTCCTTGTGGGAGTTGTTTGTTATGTGCCATCGAGTCGGCCCCGACTCATAGCGACCCCTCCTTGGGTTTCCGAGGCAGTATCACTACGGAAGTAGGATTGCCCAACCTTCCTTCCGAGGAGTGGCTGGTGGGTTTGAACCACCAGCCGTCTGGTTAGCAGGCAAGTTTCTTAGCCACTATGTTGTGGGGGTAGGACTATGGAAATAAGGTACATGTTGGGATTGGTTAGTTTTGTCATTCCACTATGCTTAAAATGAGCCTCCTAGAGGCAGAAGGGGGTATCTCACTGCCTTCGAGAGAGAAATTGAGAATGGAGTGCATTCTTGGACCCAAGGTCTCTGTGCAGAGAATTGGCAGAAACACTGGCACAAGAACTGAGAGACTGACATGAGTCAGAGTGGTGGGCTTGCTACCCCATGGAGTAAGAAAGCTTTTGGGCAGGCATGTTGGCAGAATGGGGTGCAGCTAAGTGCACCTATCAGCAGAGCTTAACGAGCTTTGTAACACTTGCCTGCATAGGGCAGAGGCCAGGCCAAGGACCAACAAGAGGCAAGCCTAAGAGTTTGGCTGAGGGGAGGCTGCCCTGATTGAAGAATTCCTGAGCATTCCTAAGCATTCCTGAACCTGAATTGTAGCCTGCTGCTTCTCTAACAAACCCCACATTTGTGAGTATTGTTTGTGAGTTCTGTGTGGCCACTGTGATGAATTATGGAACCCAGCAGAGAAGTAATGACTGATGTGGAAGGGATGGTTGGTGTCAGAATTGGAAAAAAGGTTGGAGAGTGGCAGCATTCTCATAATGATCCACCTTGGACTGCTGATGGTGATTCTGTCTCCCCCTCATGAAGTTAAGAGGAGGTCAGAGGAGGATGTCACCTCCATTCCCTTTTTGGCAACCTTGGAAACCCTATATGGCAGTCTGCTTTGTCCTAAAGGGTTACTATAAGTCAGAATTGATTCTATGGCAGTGGGTTGGGTTGGGTTTTGGCCCTGTGGTAGTTAAGATTGTGTATCAACTTGGCTGCACTCTGGTTTTGAGTGGTTTGGCAGTTGGAAGATGTAGTTACTACCCATGATGCAATTATATACACCCCCATGATGGAACCTCCTATAAGCACCTAATCAATTGAGGACAAGTTGCCTTTAGGGTGTGGCCTGCTTCCAGTATATATAGTAAAGCTTTGAGAAAGGTTTTTGGCACATTTTGGGCTGTGTTGCCTACTAACCTTGGGACTGTGTCATTTTACCTGCTGATCTTGGGTTTATCAGCCTCAGCAGCCAGCAGCTGCATGAGTCAGAAGAAGCCTCTGGCTCCAGTGGGCCTGGAACAAGAGGCAGAGCTGAAAGCCCAAGGTCAAGAGATCTTCACCCAGCCCCTAGAGCTGGCACTCTAGCCTCCTAAACTATAAGAAAATAAATTCCTGTTTGCTGAAGTCATCCACCTGTGGTATTTGTGTTATAGCAGTACTAGAGAACTCAGATACATCGCCTAAGGTAATACTGGACCTGCCTGCTAAAAACAGTAACAATAGTTCTATATGCATTAGATGTTTAACGTAGTCAAGTTTTAAACTATCTACTGTGGTTCTGGTGTGGCAAATGCTTTAATGTTAAATGGAGGTGAATATTTTTACTTTCTAGCAGCAAATGAAAAAAGACACTTTGGAAGGGAAATATAAATCACCCTTAAATTACATTGAATGACACTTTGTTAGTGGTTTATAACTTTTATAAAATTACAAAGATTTTTTTCTTGTTATCATAATGAAAGGCTAAATGAGGTTTCACAAGTATTCCTATAATAAGGAGGACAGTAATGAATAATTTATCTCTAGATAAATGATTTGATAATCGGCGTATGAGAGACCTATGCTGCCCATGGAGAGAGAAATGGTATAAGGTCTGGAATTTCTCCACCTTCATTCCCATTTCTGCCAATGGTCCTCAAAGATACCCCTTCTCTTTCAGTTAAATAACCACTACTCAAGTCCCACTAGGGTCATGAGAATTTCAGATTTTCCGTATCCTAGAAACTTAAATAACATACAAATGTTATAAGTGATTATAGTCAACTTTTAAGTGTGGCCTTTAAACTATAATTGAATAGATAACCGATAGATTTTTTTAAAAAATATTTCAGATCTTTAGAAAGCATTTCTGTACAACTTCTTTCCATTTGTCCAACCAATAGGTAGGTCTTATTGGTTATTACTATACAGCCATTACTACGATTTTCCAGTTCATATTATCACAGACTTAAGTCTTGGACTATCGACAGTTATATGACTCCATATCACCCTATAAGGCCCAAATGAAACAATGTTTACACTGAAATCTGCTGAGACAAATACAAGCACTCAAAAGAATATTAAAACAGTGAGTCAGTGGGTCAGTGAGTTGGACCTACACTTCCAGATGGAGGTCCTGCTCACATACCTTTAAGTCCTGCTCTAGACTCCGGATCAGCTCACCATCCACATCCCCAGTCTGAGCCACCTTCAAGCTTTTCTGCTCTGCTTTCCTGAGACGGTACTGCAGAATTCGGCAGTTTTTATTCGCACGGTCCAGTTCTCGCCGAAGTTCCTGCAGCTGGTAAACATCTTCTTCTAAATAACTGTCCCTCATCTCTTCCATTTCAGCACGAAGTTCATCCAACTCATCCTATACAAACCAGAGTACAGTTATAAGCCAAGCCCATCAAAAACAGGTGGTGTCCCTCTCCCCCATCCTGCACTCCTCAACTCCAAATAATAAATGTTTGCACCTGTAACCCACCAGCTTAGGGCCACACATGTGACACGGGAGAGGAGCCTCTGCACATGGCTCATGTGAAGTAATATCACCAAATGTCTGAACCCAAAATTAAAAACCAGCCTAGACTATTCACAGCAGCCTCCCAGAACATATTCCACTCCTAATATTTCCTTGTTGTTGTTGTTGTTATGTGCCATCGAGTCGGACCAACTCATAGCGACCGCTCCTTGGGTTTCTGAGGCAGTATCACTACAGAAGTAGATTGGCCCATCTTCCTTCCAAGGAGTGGCCGGTGGATTTGAACCGCCAGCCTTCTGGTTAGCAGTCAAGTGCCTTAGGCACTACGCTACCAGACTCCTTACATAATCCTAATT